AGTCCTACCATGACGCAGGCTGCACTCTGGCCTCTACGGACCCACCTTGTAGGCCTTTCCTCCAGTGGCTACAACTTCTCCTTCACAAGCATACTGCAAAGAATACCGATAGCAGCCAGCATTTCCCACCCCCCCTCCGACCCCTTCCTCAATTGATATGTTTACTGTTATATGCCGACACGTTGCTCCCTTACACTACTGTTATTAGACAATATTTGTATGTCTTGCACTTTGAAAACCTAATAAAACATATTGAGAAGAAGAGCAGAAGACCAGGGTTGAGTCCAGAATGACAACCATGCCTCCCTCCATAGATACAGTGTAGTAAGTGTTGTCACCCTAGGACAGGAAGCGTCTTACTGGCAGGATCTCAAGAAAAAAAAAAGAGCCTGAAAAGTGAAAACTAAGGCAGCTACCACATCTAAGGAACGATAAGCTGGAAAACAATTACATTTTTGTTCTTGGGTTCAGATGCACTTTAAAGAGGATTTTTAAAAATTAATCCTTGCAGTAGTGCTACTCCTGCAATGCAAGGGTTACCAGCTCATTTTTCTCTAGGGGACCGAATAAAGAAGAAATATTCATCTGATCCTCAGTCCTGCCTCATTGCTAGACCGATCCTCACAGCCTCCTCTCAACGGCGGTATAAGGACCCATGATGTCATCCTGTCTAATGCAAGCCCATTCACTTGCATTAGATGAGAGGATGCTGGGGAACATACTACAGCTGAGTACAGAGAGGTGACCGGTCACTGCCGCAGGATCGAGGATCGGGTGATCCCTTGGAAAAAAATAAACAAATTAGCAATTAACCCTTGCAGTGCTGGGGGTAGCCCCACTGCAAGGGTTAACTTTTAAAAATCCTGGAGTTCCTCTTTAATTAGGATGCCGTCACGGCAGGGGTCATAGAACAGGCAAGTGGTAAGCGTGATCCCGTGCAATCTTTTTACCAAACATCTGCAAACCTTGTAAAACATGAGCTACATACATACTGTATTTTGGTTTGGAAAAGTGACCCTTTCAAAGTTTTTTTTTTTTTTTTTCTCCCTATTCATCCTGGCTAGCAGAGAAAAGTGCTTTAAAATGTAAAATAATATCTGTAACCAGATTCAGCATTCAGATCAAGCGGTAGGAGAACTCTGCGTTCTTTTTTTTGTTGTTGTTGTTCCATTTTTACAAAGGGATCCAAATAAATTAGAAATATTGCCTGGAAAAAAAAAATCGAAGGTTTCTCACATCGTAAAAGTTGTTTGTTTATCAAATCGCAGAAGAAGTCCTCTTGCGCAGCTGACTTTTTTTTTAAATTGAAAGAATTCTACCGGGAAGGTGAAAAATAAATAAATGGAGTAATGTCGGTTTAGTTATCATGCATGCGCACCAAAACAAAGAAAAAAATATATATTTACAGAGTTATTGAAAAAAAAAAAACACCCAAAAGGTTCACAAAAAAAAATGCTACGGTGTGACTAAACCAGTCGGCAGGGTCGCGGGTTATCATCTGCCATGCTTTAGCATTTTGCTGGAGTTATCGAAGAGACAGCTAGGTCCCAAAACCCTGGCTGTAGGTCACAACGAGTTCAGGTCAAAGCAATCCCAAAACAGAATGAACACAGCTGTGGATGGACAAGCTCGAATCGCGTAGCCAACGAATACCGTTATCATAACACACGTCAAAAAGAGGAAAAAGTCAAAGAAGGGAAGTAATGCAAAATGATGAGAGATGTGCTGAATCTCTGTACCAGCGCAAGGCACTCCGGATTAACCCTCCACGACGCTGCTGGAGACACCTAGAG